TAAATCGTGCATACAGCCTTTAGAATGGCTCAAAGTCAATGTTGGTTGTAGGATGAGTTTAAAAATATAATGGTAGCAATGAACGTTATGTGCAGATATTACCATAAATTGTATACTATTCACGTGAAAAAATCTGAGGATTCGAAAAGCTTTCATAGTGGATTTTATACAACAAACCCTCCACCAAGCGCAATAATTTTCCCCAGCATAATTTACATGTAACAAGCGATGGTTGTTTTCATATATAAGTTGGCAAAGAAGAATCTCTCTAGGCCAAGATAAAACATGGCTGATCTTATCTTCTTTCTATATGAACACTTATCAAACCTGTATATATTCGAATAACTATGGTATGGAGCATTTCCAGTCTTTTAGTTTCGCAAAAGGCGGTCTCGAAGGACAGAAAGAATCAGGCTCTTCATCATGGGAGAACCAAAGGAACCGCCATTCTTCAATCTGCCACCGCTTCCTGCACAAAATGCAGGACCTAGTGGCACGACATCGGGAGAGAAAATTAAGTCAGTCTCTTAAAAAGTTTCATCTAAATGCACTCTTTATTGCGCATGCAAATTGTGTTTTTTCAGAGAAAAATCAGGTAATTCCCTCAGAAATTAGAGCAAAGCTGAAGCAATTGTATGTTTTTAGCTGTTTTTTAATGATATGTTACAGGAAAAAGCCAAGAAAAGCTGAGCAAAGAGGGGAAAGCAGGAAGTAAGGAACCGATTGCTTCCATTCCAACAAAACCTCCTCCTAATCTTGTGAGTTCTTACAAAAAAAGATCCTTCAACCTTCAAACTCAAAGACAACATTTACAGGGAGCTTTCAAAGCGCTCATTGCCGTAACGTGGCTTTTGTTCATTGCGTGTGTGGTTGGCTTAATATATGTGATTATACAATACAAAATCGATCGTGAATCGTAGGTGTTTGAAACTTCCGTTGGCTCTCACGAAGTAGAACCTTTTCAGACTGAAGTCATCTTATAATGGGGGACAATGACTATTTCTCTATTTATGGCTTTTAAGAAGTTACATCCTAATAAAAGACTGCTATCTCAATCATAAGGCTTCTATCTGCATTTGTAAAGAAAATAAAGTTTTGTAAAATTTTCATGCTTGAAAAGACAATGAAAGTTTCATAGTGGTCAGTTATGTACAGACGAAATGGGCTACAATGTG